AATTTGTTAATAATAATAAAAATAAGTCATTAAAATAAAATTAATGAAAATCTATCAGTAAAATTACATTACATAATAGTAGAGCTAAGGCTTCACTTTTATTATTGGGAATACGTTATAGTATAATAGATACTCAGATGCGGCTTACTCATATGGTGCCTTTACTTGTTATATTGGGAATAAATTTGGTTTTAATTAAAAAATAAACTTAATTGAAACAAATAAATAAATTTGTGATTTAATTAAATAAAATTAAAAAAAATTGAGTTGAATATAAGATTTTGATATATGACAGTAATTTAACATGTGATAGTGATACCGTCACTTGATATTATGAAGATTTGAATGTAAAAACTTTTTTTTCTAAATTAAAAGAAAAGTTAAAAATTTTAAAAATATATGAATTAATACTTAATATATATTGTCTTCATTCAGTTAATTATTTAAATGTCATTATAACAAAGACTAAATTGATTGATAAAAATTGAGACCTTATTAAATATGAAAAAAAAAGAAACCACAATTAACATATTCAATGAAAGTAAAAATTAAATAGTATTTAAGGGTTTTAACTTTTATTTTTAATAAAAAGTTATTTAATTAATCTGTAAAATAGTAAATATATATAATGTCATTACAAATATATGTGTTATCCGACAAGATCAACATGAGACCAAAATTTTAATCCATTAAATATAAAAATAAAAATAAACATTTATTTCAACAGAAATTAGGATAGGATAAAATGAGCAAATCTTACGCGAGATTGCCATCGTCCCTAATTGTTTTATGATAAAAAAAAAATCGTGTTTTTGTTGATATTTTTCACTCTGGAGAATTTGATTGAATAAAGTGTCCTCATTTAGTTAAGTTTTCTTATCCATAAAAGTTTGAATAAAAAATCTTATACAATTATCTCCTGAAACCATAATTTGCGGGCAATTAAAAAGTTAGAAGAGAAATAGTGTATGTAGCAGTAATAGATAATCATTTATATCATTAAGAATATAGGTGGAGGTCACTGGAGCGATCAATTTCAGACATTTATGTAAATTATTATCTGACACACAATCAGCCTTGCAGTGTTTAGTGGTATTCATTCATAAATATGTGAGAGTAACGAGACCTCAGTTATTTTATCCGAGTGTCAAATAATATACACAAGTAGTTTTAAACTACTTCCTTTGATCCCAGATTCAAAATTGGATGTGCCTTTCATATACCGCATAATCTTCTTGCTGCCAACCAATTTGTTGCAGTAGAATTGGTCATAAATTTACTGAGCAAGTTAACGTATACATCAAATCAAGTCAGATAGCAGATAAATATGAGACTTCCAAGTAATTGCTTTAATAATGTTTTTTCAAGCGATTACATTTATTGATTACATTACATAGCAGTAGAGCTAGGACTCCACTTTTATTATTGGGAATTCATTATAGCATAGTAGATGATATTACACTCAGATACGGCTTATTCATCTGCTGCCTTGTTACTTGTTATTATTGGTAGTGAAGTTGACGGTACCTTCGAAAAAGCTTCCAGTGGCATTACCATTGAAAGTACCAGTGTTATTTATAGTACGAGGAGCTGATTCGGTACGATTCTGAACGGTTCCACCAGCTCCTTTTTCGACCTTTCCATCGGAGGAATTGTTGTTCTGAGGGTTGTTAACTGGGATGAGCGATCTGGCTGTTTCTTCTACCTCTGGATGATCGATGGTGATATCTTTCACAGTTGGTGCATCTGAGCTACTTTTGGTCTTTTCCTTTGTAGCCTTTGGGTTTTTCTCATCATCGTTCCATGGGATCTTCGTTTCGTGCGCTTTCTTAACCTCCAAAACCATGCTCATCACACTGTTATGTTGTGGTTTTTGCATATTATTCTACTGCCTTAACCTTGCCAATGACTAGGTCAGCAATATATAGATCAATAAAGTCAATTTTGTTTCTAGATGTTGGTAAAATAATGTTTCTCTATGTAATTTCTGCAATTCATCTCAACTTCATTATGAAGAAAATTGAAATATTATTGAAAAAAGAAGAAGAGAATTATATTGAACAAAGTGTACGAAAACAAGACCTAAAGTTGTACTTAAGTAAAAAGAATGTTATGATGGATTGGATTGAATTTTTATAGTTTCTATCTTAATCTTAATCTAACCCAACTCACTTTTAAGCATGGATTAATTGAGTCAAGATTTTGAAAAAAAATTCTATTATTTTTGTTAAAAATTTTAATTTTCAAGTATCTATATATATATATATATATATATATATATATATAATTTATCTATAATACAAATATAAGTATAGGTTAATTTGGTTTATATCAAAGTTAACATGAAATTCAATTCAATCTAATTAAATTAAGTTTAGTCTAATTGAATCATGAGGTAAATTGACCCACATAACAATCATTTTCAATGTAAGGAATAATTTTTTCACGGATAAATCGATTTTTGATAGGACAGGACAAATTCAAAGTTTTAAAGTTTTATTCTTATTCCTCGTCAAAGACGAGAAATTTAAGTTATTTTCACTCTGAGAGTGACATTCCACAATAATACATAGGAGAATCTATTAGGATAAAAAGTATACCATGTAATGTTATAAGTTAAGAAACAAAAAAACAAAAAGGTAGCGTGTAATGTGTTCTTATGACCTTAAAAAGGGGACTTTTGATAACCAGAGTTTATAGTTTGGTATTATGAATTTAGTGGGAAATACCTTTGTTTCCATAAATATATTACTTTAGTGAAAAGAAATAATTAATATGATGATATATTGAAAATATTAAATATTTGTTAAAAACAAAAGAGTCAATTAAATTAAGAAATATTTTACATAATTAAAATTACAGTTATTTTGCAATAGTTTAGAGTTTTAAAAAAGAAGTATTAATCCTATTTAATATATAATGAAACTATTATTATAGAACTTGTTACCGTGATTTTTTTTTTCTTATTTTATTCAGTGTAATATTTACTAATCTTTATTATAAGAAAATCAAATATTACTCATGTTTAAAATTTGTTAATAATTATAAAAAATATATCTTTAAACCAAAATTAGCTTAACTTATTAATAGCTAAAAACTTATTAGTAAAATATTCATTGATAAATTTTATAAATGAAAAAATTTCAATAATTATTTATCAATATTATTAAATTTTTTTTATCATCCGTATCATGATCTTAGATTTGGTCGCATTTATTAATCATCTTGCATCACCTAAGACTCATTCTTTCTTCTTTTTTTCTCTTTTTTTTTTCATAATTGTTGTTGTGAGCATATTATCCTTATCTCCTTTCCCACCTTTTTCTTTCCTTTTTTTTTCTTCATTCTTTTTATTTCCTTGTCATGTTCATTTAATTTGTAATAAATATTTTGTTTAATCCCAAAAAAAAAGTTAGTGTCCATTTTATTAATAGAATTATAGACAAATTTTAGAAAAATACAATTAATAATAGATTTACTAATAAATTTCCAAAAGATTAATATCGACGAGTTTTCAAATGAATTATCGACTAAATTTCAAAAAGAAATATTAATATATATACCAAAAAAATTTACGTAATATAATCAAAACTAAAATCACAACTTTAACTCCACAAAAATAATCTATTAATAAAATTATTCAACAAATTATATTTTAGGATAATAATATTATGTCTTTTTAACAGTATTTTCACTCCGCCATGTATTAAGAAATACTTTTTAACAACATTTTGACTCAGCCACATATCAAGATGTGGTAATTGATGCAGATGGCAAAAAGGAATAATATGAGGTGGAAAGTCCAAAATTACATGTTTTAAGGATTTCAAGTTCGCACCTTCTCTTTCTTATGTTTGGATTTAAAATTTCATTTTAGAAGTTGTGAGGGAGAGGGTTGGACGAGAGTGTGAGAGAGAACCATTGTGGTTGCAAACGCCATTCATTGTCACTAGAATCCCCGTTCACCGTCATTGCAACTACTATTGGTTTCAAAGCATCATTGAATAACGAAACCACCATTTACGTGTGTTTTGAAAATTTCCACCATTTGTTTTGGAGTTCACAACCATTTGCGGTTGTCGTCTTTCGTTTGAAGCATTGAACCATAGTTCGTCTTTGTTTTCTTCTTCTTGTTCATTTATTTGTTTTTTTTTCAATTTTTTCATTTATTTTATCATTTTGAGGTTGTTGTTGGGTCTATTTTTTTCACTCTTTTTTTAATTTTGGATTCGCTATTTCGTGTGTGGTGGATATTCTTGCAACGTAGAAAGAAAGTTGGTGAACATAGTGAACTTTGTCATGACAGGATGAATCTGAAAATGTTAATTATAATGTTAATTTAAAAACATTTATTATAATATTAATCTACGTTATTAATTGACTCACTTCTATAGGAATATTTGAATCTAAAAATGTTAATTAGAATGTTAATATACCCTTAAGTTATGATCACCAAAACATACACAAAAAATAAATCTGCAATATTGATTGATGAGCAGTGGTCAAATAAGTGGAGATTTATATTAGTTGTTTTGCACGTGAAGATAAATTGACATTACAAATGTTTGAAACTTAAAAAATTCATTACGAGTTCTATACACCTTTAAGTTAAACTTGGTATTCGTGACTAATTACATTAAACTTAGTTAAAAAAACTAAATTAACCAATTGACAAAAATTAAACCTTATTAAACATGAAATAAAAAGAAAACCATATTGAACAAACTCAAATGAAAATAGAAACTAAAGTAAAATTTAAAATTTTAGTTGTATTTTTAATAAAAAGTTATTTAATTAATATTTAGAAAAGTAAAAATATACAATTTCATTACAAATATGTGTTATCCGGCAGGATCAAGAAGAGACCAAAATTTTAATCCATAAAATATGAAAATAAAAATAAATTAAGTTTTCTTATCACTGAATAAAAAATCTTATACAATATGTCCTGGAACAATAACTTGCGGGCGATTACAGAGTTAGAAGAGAAAAACTGTATGTAGCAGTAATAGATAATCATTTATATCATTAAGAATATAGGTACAGGTAACTGGAGCGATCAATTTCAGACATTTATTAGGGCCATGTAAATTATTATCTGACATACAATCAGCCTTGCAGTGTTTAGAGGTATTCGTTCATAAACACGCGAGAGCAACCACCCCAGTTATTTTATAAACTATGAAGATGTATAAATATGCATGCATATACACAGAATTAGTAGTAATTCTTGGTGGAGGAGTCAAAACCACCAGAGATGATGGATCCGTTGCCGTTGCCCTCAACATAGCCAGCGTTGTTGATGAGACCAGTCATGTTCTGTGTGCCACTGTTGTTGAATTGGGGAGGTGATGATGAGTTGTGAGATGGTGGGGCGCTGTTATTGCGAGGAGCACGATTCCTGTTGTTGCGGTTGCGTCGGGGTTCTGGTGCTGCTTCATCCTCCCCCATCTGATCCAAGAGCCGCATCAACCGCGCTAGTGAATCCGCCATGCTTGCTTAGCAACTAAATGTCTCAACTTGCATGTTTCAGTGAAAACATGGATGGAGTGCACTTTTATAAATAAGATGCTTCTCTTGGCTGCTGTTTGCTTCAACAATAAGCTAATGTTCCTCCTTTTTCTTTTAAGTTATGCCGCTGGTTCAATAATATAATACAACATTATCTTCAATGAATAAAATATATGTTCCTTTTGGAAGTATTTTTTATGAATAGTACGTTGGGAAGGTTAGATACACACGAATAAGATATTATTCGTTTTGGGTTAATTTGTTATCATTCCAAAAAGTCTTTAATTAACGAAGGTATCCATATGTATAAAAATTTATGTTCAACTCTTTTTTTTATCAATGTAGAATTTTGTTTGTACCAGTAACTCTGTATGAAGTTTTATTTTATGTTCGACTTTACGGTGCTGCCATATATTTCGCTTCCGTTGGATTATGTTATCACATTTTGTTTTTTTATGCCCAAGAAACTCTCCTGTTCGTAGCATAAACACATATTCAGACGTATTTTTCGTATCATCAAATCACTAATATAATCACTGTTTGTAAACACTAGTAGTTTTAAGCTACTAGTTCCCCTTTGATACCAGATCCAAAAATTTGATGTGCCTTTTATATACCGCAGAACCCTTTTTAAATACATCAGACTTTCAACTAGTTACTTAAATCATGTTTCTTCAAAGCCCTTCTCTCTGTCCAAAGCATGATAACACGTACAGGCAAACAAATATTTCATTTGAATATTGTTTAATTTCAATTCTAAAGAAATGACTCATTTTTTCCAAACCAAACAGGTCAAAATGTATTATAGACTGCTTAAACTTCTCACACATAATTCTATCATTTCTAGTAAATATTAAATCATCAAGGTACAGGCTAATAATTAAGATTTACCTCCCTGTAATGAGGTGAAGAATGTGTTCACTACGACATTTTTCAAACTTTTTTTCAGCAAAATAAGCCTCAATTTTGTGGTACCAGGCCTGAGGGACCTGTTTGAGACCATACAAAATTCATCAATGGGATGAAATTTATACTTATACTTTAAAATGTAACATATCCCTAATATGTGTTTATAATATAAATACAACTTGTATTCATTTGAATGAATAAACTTTTGATGTGTAAGAGTTTAATATTATGAGAGGAGAAATTTAACTCATTCACTCTGAGTGCCACATCCCATAATAATATATATGAGAATCCTTTAAGGGTAAGAGTTTAATATTATGAGTTACAAAAGAATAAAAAAAACCCGTAACTGTAATGTGGAATAGTGAACTCTTATAATCTTTTTATGAAAGGGAATTTTGATAGTACAGGAGATTATAGTTTGGTATTATAAGTTTAGTGGGAAATAGCTTCGTTTTCACAAATATATTACTTTGAATTAAATAAAACTAATTAATTGATGATATATTAGAAAGAGAACAAAATTACAGCTTTATTAAAAATTAAATGCATCGGATCAATGTTTGAAATGCTTTACTTTACAGTTATTTTGCAATAGTAATAGTTTGAAAAATGAAGTTTAATCCTATATTATATATATATATATATATATATATATATATGGGTTTGCTAACGCGCATATGCCTGTTTTTCAGTTGGTACATTTTAGCAATGTGTACCGGATTTTATTAGACAAAAATACCCTTATATATTATGGATTTCAAGTTTTAAGGTTAAGGGTATTTTAATAATTTTCATTCTCAAAACTTAAAAAAAAAAAAAGAAACATCCCAAACCCTTACTCATCTCTCTCATTCAAACAGCAAACTCAACCCATATTAAACATATATATATATATATATATATATATATATATATATATAAAACTAACCGAAGGTTTTTTTATATTAAGGACATGCACCGAGTTGATATTTGTTTGTTATAGTGATGAGGAATGAGTTTGTTGACATAATGTTATCAAAGTTCTGTGACGTGTTTGGTTATTCGTTTTATAGATATGAATGAATCTTGGAATGGTTCATGGCTTGTATACACTAACTTGTCCAGGAATTAATGCAAAGTTTATCCATATCTGGATTAAAAATGGATATTATTCCTCATATTATTCATGACCCTTTTCTTTAATATCATGTCCGGGTTGGGACTGAGTTTAATAATGTTTTGCACAAGCATTATTTCATTTAATTAATTATAACGGCCCAGACATAGCATTTAAAAAAATGTTTTAAAAATCTATTTATATCGCAAAGTAATTTCTTTTATATAAAAACAATTACATACCATTATATAGGATAAAGGCATCTTTATACGTACGAAAAAAAAGAATTACATATCCTAGGAAAGCTTTAAATCATCTCTTCATCTATATTTTGGAGTCCAGGTTACAATATTAATTTGTGTTAGATTGTTTTTTCAAGTTAATCCTCGGTATAAAAATTAATTTGTTAATGTGACATTATTTAATATATATGTGCCTCCCATGTGAGACTTTTCTCTTTTTATATATAATTTTCTAATTTTATTAGCGTTTGAAGACTCTTAAGAATTTTTTTTCCTAAACTACATGTTTTATTATTCAAGTATAATTTTTATTCGAAAGATTTGAAAAACATTGGTTCAGAATATAAAATTGATTGAGGATAAATTTTTTGAAAAGTGATTATAATAAATAAGATAATTTAAATATATTGTAATTATAGTAATAGAGTAATTATCATAATAAAATATTGTGATTCAAGTTGTTTTTTGAAAAATTAATTTTGATAAATGTATATTTATTTTGTTAAAATAATTTATGTAATAATTTTTTGTGTGTGTAACAAATTAAAAAATTAAATTAAATAATAATATAATTATAGGTGGAAATATTTGAAAAAAAACTTAATGTAAAGTTAAATTATCTAAGTTTTATTTAAAAAAAATATATAAATTTATATTTAGATAATTATATTTTTAATTTATTATTTATTCAAATTTAATTTATATTTTTTTGCTATTTTAATTTTTTTTAAATATATACACTTTATTAATATTTTCTTTAAATAATCTTTTTATAAATATATTTAATGTTTTACATTCATAATACCAATTTTAACTTGACATTAACTTTTTCTTTTCAAATATTTTCACCTGCAATCATATTATTATTTAATTTTATTATTCTAACTTATTACACAAAAACGTTATTACATAAATTATTTTAACCTAATAAATATATATTTATTAAAATTAATTTAAAAAAAACAATCATAATTAAAATATTTTGTTATGATAATTTTTCTATTACCATAATTACAATATATTTAAATTATCTTATCTATTATAATCACTCTTCAAAATTTTAATTCTCAATTAATTTATAAATATGAAATTAAATATTTTTTTAAAATTTATATTCACATGAGTTTATAAATAATTATAAATTTCTAATAAAATAATTTATTATAAATAAATATAAAAATCTATAAACCTAGAAAAAAAAGTTGTTGAAAATTCGTTTCCAAAAAATAGAATTCCAACAATAAACAACATAAAAAATTATAAAAGAAAATTATGAGAATTTAGCCTTTCAAAAAAAAAACAATATTCTTGATAATCTACTCACGTTAATAAAATCTAAAAATAATCTATGACAAAAGAAAAAGTCTCCGTGTGACCGAGTATTGTATAATAATTTTTTTGGAAAATATTTTCATAATATGTCGTAATTATTCTCATAGTAAAGAGAATTACGCTTTGTTTACATGGATAGGTGGGAGATGATTTGGGAAAAGTGATTGAATAAATTTGAGAGTAAATTTTTTGTTATTTGTTTGAGTAGATTTGGAGGTAATTGAGAGTAAATTTGGAAGTAAAGTTTGTGAAAATTAGTGTAGGATTTGATTGATGGAAGAGATTTAAAAAATTTGTTTAATTGGTAAAAATTAAAGATTACTAAAATGTCCCTAGTTATTAAAATAATATAAAATGATATTTGTTAATGTTATATTTAATTGTAAAAGTTTTTATAAAGAGAAAAAGATTAAAAAAAATTATTAAAATTAGTTTTTAAAAAGTAATTAACATAATTATGACCAAACTTTCAAAAGTTGCACGTTAGCATCAATTATAATTTAATTAACATATGAAATAGCAGTTCTTTACTATACAAATTATGTCTTAATACCCTAGAAACCTTAGCCCTTCTTAATAAGCCTGAAATTAAATTAGAGTAAAGTTTGGAATACTTTGACTACTAAACGGATCAAACCATCCAGCTTCTTGTTCAGAACAACCTTCACTTGCTGCTGTCAGGTCCTGCATAACCAAAGCCACTGTTATATTTCCACAGAACCGTCCTCCTCTCCTCCTCTCCACCTCCATCCCCATCGCCCTTACCTGGCTGAACATGAAGTCCATACTGTTATGATAATCCTCTGCGACCTTCTCCTCAACCCCAAACCCACCATTGCTTCCATGGGATGTACACGGTTGACAGCAACGCCGACAATCTTCCAAGCGCATCAGCCCATGCACGAAGGTTTCCACGCTTCTGGTAACGAATCAATGCGAGGGAGGAAGAATGCAGCTATGGGGAACCGAATAACACACCCACGAAGCTTTACACGCTCATAACATGTTGAACCAGTGACTGCAGAGAACCGAATACGACGCGCAGAACCGAAGCACTGGAACCGGATACGCTTAATTGGAACCGAATACACGTGCTTTGCAATTTCTGGTAAAAGCCGAAACCGGATACGCTATACGGAACCGAATACACGACCATCTGTGTGAAGAACTGGAACCGAGACGCTGAACAACAAAACTCTTCTGCAACCTGTTGCTTCAAGCTCCTTCTTCGTCATCCATGAACCCCTTTCTTCGTCGTCTCCGCTCCAACATGCAACAACCACATCAAAATCTCAAAGAAAGATGACCTCATATGAACTCCACAACTGCTCTCACTCTCAACCAACAATTCTCGTGGTATTTAACAAATATGAAAGGGCATATATGACTTTTACATATAAATCAACGCAAATCTACACACTTGGACGAGATGGTTAAATTGGTAATATCTCACAAATCAACGCTTTTCTTTCCTCGCAAATCCGCACAAACGAATAG